CCGGCCGCGCCCCGCCCCCAGCCAGCTGTAGCAGCAAAACAAAACAATCAAAGAGCTCTGGTCAGGATGATGCCCTGCCTCTATCACACCAGTCACAGAGCCACTCTGTACCAGTCCCAGACCATTCCGCTGTGCAAGGGCCTACCTTCTTCGAGCTGTTGAGTCCCCCACAGCTGTAGAGCTGGATTTGAAATGGTGCCCAGGACATGAGAAGGAGAGGGGTGGCAGCTTTACACTGTCTCTGTACAGTCTCGATGTGCGGTATCTCAGTGCACGCTTTGAATTGTAGACTGGGGTCAGGCTTCCAGCTAGCCTTTTTGACTCTGTTACAGTGGTTAGAGTGGCTAGTGTGGTCAGGATTATTAGAGATCTGGGCTATTACTATCAGGCTTGGGCTTTTTTTGTTTGCTTTTTAAATAGGGTTAACACAGTAAATTTTAAGGTAATTAGAATAAAGAGTAGTGTTATGTCAGTGTTGAGGTTAGGGTTATCTTCAGGATTTGGACTACTGTTAGTATTACTTCTACTGTGAATTTTCTCTATTAATTGTAGCAGATTTTTAGGGTACGGGTCTAAGGATTACTGTTACGGTCATTAGAATTCTGAGTAATGCAACTTTTAGTTTTCAGACCATGGTTATTTTGTCCTTTCTTCTGACTGGGGGGAGGGGAATAAAGAGAAGAGGCCCTGTTGTGACCAAGCGGCAACCATGAGCAAACCTGTTTCCCTTTGAGGATTTCAATTCTCCCGGTGAATGTTTTGCTTGAGCGGTTGTTTTGTGGCCACAAGCTTTAAAAACAAAGAAATCACCAAAAGACCCCCCCCCCCCCCCCCCCAAAAAAAAAAAAGCTTGTTGGCCAGATGTCAATGCAGTCACCATCCATTAAAATGAAAGGGTGAAAATGGTGTAAAACATGAGAGCATCTGTTTCTTCTTTGTTTAAGGTTTAAACAACAGCAACAACATAAAGAGCTGTGGAGCTGGGAAGCCTCAATTGCCAGTGAAAATATGGATTGTGTTTGCGTGTCATTGATATTCAGTGATGTGCTATTGTGTTTATTTTTCTGAAGATCTGTAGCCATCAGAGAAATGTGGTGTAATTGCCTCTTTGTTTATTGACAGGGGGCAGGGAAAATCCATCTATGCTGGGAGTTAACGCCTGTGCTGCCAAATCAGGGTTGGGATGAACTTCCTGCTATGCTGGAGGATTTTTGGGGATGGGGTTGAGTCCTAAAAAAAGATAGGGAAGTTGATCTCTACCCTGAAAATCATTTCACTTTTATAGAAAATCACCCCAAGAGCCTTTGGGATGCGATGGGATGTGGGAAGTACCAGCTGCAATTTCTGCCCTCCCGAGTCCTGAGTGCCCTGTTGCATTCCAAGGGCCATGTTGGTTCAGCAAGATATTAAATCTTTTTTTTTTTTTTACTTTTTTTCGGGGTAGGGAGGTCTCATCACCAAGATCTCCAGCTGTTTGCTTAGCAAATGTTGGTATTGATGGGCATCCATTCCTGATCCGTCATTCCCATTCCCAGCAATTTCCTAGCTAATTGCAACTGCTCTGCTGCTCATGATGTTGTGTTGAGTAGGAGTAAATCCTACAGTGTTGTGTGGGGAAATGCTCTCAGCACTCTGCAGTGCAGATTCTGCAAGCTGCATAGGTAGTGGCGGGGCACAGTCCTTGGCATGATGACGCAGAGGCTCTGGTCCAGCGCTGAGTCACTGGCGTTGAGGAGTAAAGCAAAGAAGCTGACCCCTAGGAAGGGTTTTAGGCATGGTAAAAGGAAGCTTTAGATGTTGATGGTGGAACAATTGTGTTTCCCCTCACCCAGTCCTTTGCTGGTGGCGTGCAGGAGCATGCTGCCTGCAGTGCTGATTAATATGGAATTCATTGAATGTGCTCGTGCAAAGGGGAAAGGGAGTTGGGCTGGAGCCAGTTTGGCACCCCTGGGACACCTCACAGAGCCTGTCTCACTCTTGATACAGGCCCCAAGCCCTTTATCAGTGGTGGCCACTCTGCCTATGCTGGGGCTTGTCTGTGCTGCACTGCTAGCTGATAATAGCAGTGGGAAAGGGATGGAGGAGGCAAAAATCCCAGCGGGTCGAGAGCTGACCTGAAAGAGCCAATGCTGGGGCCACAGAATTCCCAAGGGAGATTTTGCACAGCTCTTGGGAGCCTCAAAAACCCTTACATGTGAAAGGAGGGAAGGATGAGACCACAGCATCCTCGTAGCGTTAACTAGGCTATCTGTTCCAAGTGGTTTTGCAAGGTCTCTTGGATCTCTGGATGACGCTTCCTTAGTCTCCTCTCATCTGCTCCATCCATATGTGTTAGAGAAGCATTAGGATAATGATGTGGGGAAGGGAAATGCAACCAGTGTCTGTGCACAGGTGGATGCCTGCCCTGGGGCTGGGCCTGCAGTCTCTATTCTTTGGCAGAGATGTTAAATGGGATTGTGTTGGGAATGATAGCCCGGGGCAGGTCCAGGAGCTGCTGCTTATCCTGAGCCACCCAGGAGCGCTCTGGGAATGGATTCTTGGCTCTGTCAAATCTGAAGTGGTGGAGCCACCATTCCAGGAGGTGTTCAAGAAATATGGAGTTGTGATTAGTGGGGATGGGTTGGGGTTGGACTTAAGGACCTTAGAGGTCTTTTCTAACTTCAATGATTATATGGTTCTATAATGCCTGAGGTCAGCAGGGGAAAGGGGGCAGCAGGAGGATCCAGCTGGGTCTTGGACTGTAAAAGGGGAACCATAAGGTGGGGAGCAAATTGCCCAATGAGAGCTGATAGAAAAAGCTCAAGGAGGTGATGAAAGCTCTCAGGATGGGGTGAGAACTGAAGTAGCAAAGTGAATGTTTATTGCTTTCTGGTTTGATAAAATTTGCATCTGTGCTTCATGTGCACCTTCACCATGTCTTTTCTCCATCTCAGGCACTGTAGAGGGTGATGAACCCCAAAAACTGGAGTAACGCTAAATCTAGTATTGGTTGGCTAGATATTAGCTTTGTGAGAGAGCACTTCCCCAGATTCTTCTCTGGTCACCCCATGGTTGGTGCCTCTAAGTGTCCTCTGGTCACCCCAGTCCCCCTTTCTCATCTCAGACCATCCCTTTTCTCCTTCTACAGCTTTAGTTTTCCCTTCTCCCCCACTCTGACTTTCCTGTGAGTATAAACCAGCCTTATTGGTCTTATTTTAGTAATGGAGAAAAAATTTCCCTTTGGCCCAAGCTAGCAGGATGGTAAACTCCAGCCAGAAGAACAGGTTGTACTTATTTATCTATTTATTCCCCTTTTATAGCATTTCTAATCTGTGTTTATGATGCTGATGCTGACACATCCTAAACTATAGCCTTGCTATAACCCCCGGAAAAAAACTCCCTGCTGGATTGAAATAGTGGCTGGCAAGTATTCCCTCCTCACTGAAGACTGTGAATCAAAAGCCATCAACGCTTTAAGCAAAGGCTTGTGCTGGGGAGGGAGAACTTCTGCTGGAGCCTATGCATATTTTATCATCGTGCTTATTCATTCTGAGCCCTTTTCCCTTCAAACGCAGTGTGGATTTTAATTAAATAGTCCTTCACCAGCCTGTTATTCCAGCTTGGATAGCCTCCAAATGGCCATGTTTTCTTCCCAGAATGAAGGCAAGGGGATGTGCTCCCTTCCCCCAGCTCCATTCCCCTCCCTGTGCTTGCCGAGGTTTGTTGTCCACAAATGCCACTAATTACATTTGGCTGGCTGGCTGCCTGCTCTCCTGGTAGCTTCTTTCATTTCTGCTGATCTCTCAGTGCTGGTGGGTGTCCCTGGTGTGCTAGGAGCCCCACTTCTGCACACGAGGTTCTGATTCCCATCTTTCAGCCTTTTGGCATAAATTTGGGGTGAGGTCTTTCTGTAGAGGGTGATTGATCTCACTGAGATCCCACATCCCTGGGATGCTCAGCATTCCCTGGTTTCTCTGTGTCCTCATTGGAGCAAGATGCAGCTTCCAAGCCCATTGGGGTGAGCAAGATGCTACCAAGCAGCTCTTGGGCACCGTGCAGTAGGATGTGTTTGGACCAAACCATCGTGGTTGCATCAATATCTGCTTCCTTTTGGAAGTTTCTTTTGGGGTTGAGCAGGGGTCTCTTTTGGTAGAGCAGTCTGGGTGCAACTCCTCATCACCTTCCTGGTTGCAAGCCAGGCTAGTGTTGGTGCCTCCAGCATCTTCTCCACTAAGCAGTGCTTGGGCAATTTGGTGGAAGGGTCAAAGAAATAAATCGTAGTATCATTGAGACTGGAAAAGACTTCTAAGATCACAAAGTACAATCATCAAACCATCACCTCTACTCTCATTCACAGAATCATTAAGGTTGGAAAAGACCACAAAGATCATCAAGTCTAACCACCAACCCATATGCGGAAGAAGAGAGAACATTTCTCCACCTCCAAATGTCTCTTGGAAGCTCTTCCATGGCAATCCATCCTGTAATAGAATGATGTCCCAAAATCACGTAGGATCAGCATCCACAAGAAGCCATAGCCAGAGGCTGATGGTTACTTCAGGCACCAAGATTTTTCTTTCTTCTTTTTCTCTGCTCTTAAATTCCCACTGGTCTCTGAACAACCTCAGGTACCGATATGAGCTTGCTCCTGCTTGTCATGAAAGAGTTGCTTAATTTGGCAGCTTGCTGTGCTTAATATTTCTTTCATGTATCACATCAGTTTTAAATGCAAAACATGTCTGGATAAACTCACTTTTTCAGTTTTTCGTTTTTTTTCCCCTGTGATGTAGCCGACACATGGAAGGTAGCAGTGTTTAACTAATAAAGAAAAAGATTTTAAAATGCTAGTTTTGTACTTCTTTAATTGACTTCCAATTTCCATTTGGATGCAGCCTGGCATATTGCAAAGGGAAAAAGAGTGTGTGGTAAATAAGAAATGCGTCATTCACTGCTTTCTGCCATAATCAAAAATGTAAAAATTAGAAATCTGAATCAATGTACATTAAACTATGTAATTGCCTGAGTAAATGTGGTGGGGTGCATAATGGAGCTTCCTGATTAGAAGAAAATACCAAATTTTCAGTGCAAGGGCTGTGTTTGGTTGAGTCCGTAAAGCAGTGTGCTTGAGCAGTTACACCTAGGGATCATCTCTTCTTTTGGGAGCTGAGAAGAGCTGGTGCTATAGGCGAGGGGTAAGTGCTGAAAGGATTAACAAAAGGTTCCTCACCAATCCGCTTACAAAAATAATGCCTCGATGTCACAAGAAAAAACATCATCCAGGTTAGCGTATTGCCTTACATTTGTCCTTTCCTCTGTGCTGCTTTCCCCTACCTCAGCCAAAACTCACTTTGCCCTTGAGTGTAGGATCACTGCATGCTTTGTGCTTGAAATTTGCTTTGCCTCCACAATGACACAGGACATCCTCAGCACCTTCAATCTCCAGAATGCCACCCCAGGAGAATTGTGTTAATACTGGAAGGTGCAAGAGTGAAGGGGACTATGTGGAGCTTGCTGGGGGTCCATCCACGTGGGGATCCACAGTTAGCCTAACTTCCATGAGGCCATGGGCCTGGAAGAAACGCAGACCCCCTTCACGCCTGCTGCCTGTTGCTGGACGAAGGTAAGCGATTGCGCTATGATGGGGAATAAAATTACTGCGGATCAGAAGAAGATCCTAGAAAAATTTCAGCTTCTGCTTAAACAGAAGGGAAAAACGGTCTCCACTAATGATTTACAGCAGATGCTTGCTTGGGCTGTTAAGGGAGATGCTATTAATTGTTCATGGTCATCATGCTGAGTAATGAGAAAAGGCTTAATTATTGCAGTGTGTTCATCCTTGCCTGCATGGTCCTGAGAACAAGGAGTCAAATCTCAGGTGAAACCTCATGCAGAAGCAAATAGTCACCACGAGAAGGGCAGAATCCCTACAAAGCTTGAAATAAGAGCTGTCAGCTGAAAGGGGTCTAGCTGCCTACGTCCCACCCACCTTCCTGCGAACACCCAAAGTTTTGGGATTGCTGCTCTGAGAAGGGCTGCCCAGGTAACCAAATAATTAGAAACTTAACAATAATAAAGTTTTTTGACCCATAAGGCATCATATCAGAGAGATATTGCACATCATTGGTGGGGTAGGATGAAGTTAGCCCTAGGACCATTACATTTTCTAGCATGGGAGAGTTGCATTGCCATCCTCCATCAGCAGAAGTGTATAATTAATGCTAATTAACAAAGATTAATTAGCATGGCTTTACCTCCTCCCAAGGTCTCCTAGCATTGGTAGGAAGGTCCCCACTGATACCACCAAATGTGGTGGAAGATCTTCAAGGCCATTTCCTGGAACAACTTGCATTGGAAGGGACCTGAAATCTACTTTAGGCCATGCAGAGAGAAGAAGTGCTGCGGGGCTGTGGACTTTGAGCTTTGAGCTAGTGACTTACGGTGCCAGGTCTAAAAATATTTGAAATCACGTGGCCATAAAACCCATGAATGTTCATGTACACTAATTGTGCTATTTGGCCTATTCACTGCGATGGCAGAAAGAATGAGATGAAGTGACAATAATAACTGGGAGAAAAACAAACCAAACAAAGGATATTTCCCTGCTCACACCCAGAAAATTCACCCTGGACAAACATGAAGCTACACTCTCCCACACAATATTGACATACAGTGTGGCACCCAGAGCCATCCCTTATCTCTAAGCACTTTGAATGCACTTTGTGCTTCACCAAGGATATGGGTACAGGAACCAATAGCAGTGTGCAGCGATGGACATGACAGATGACAATCCATTTCTCTAGCTGCTCAAGAAGCTAGGGGAAGAAAATGCAATTACCCAAAGTGGGCTGTTGGCAGGACATTAGGGTGTAAACAGAGCGAGGACAGTACAATCCCAGGAAAAAGAGATGAGGGGCCCCAGTGCCAAACCAGCTGCTCACAGTGAGAGCTCTGCTTTGCTTTTGGACTCTTCCTTGGAGACAATGCTTGTGTGTTTTGTATTGCTAATTGCTGCACACCAGCCTCTTTGTTCCCATTAGTCTTTAAACGATGTGCAACACTAGCCTGTGGTTAATTTTACCAAATGTTCACATTAATTTTATTTAAGACCAGCTGTCTATAAATCTATAGCATTTATTTACATTGCACGTGTATAAATATTGATTTATATATTATTCTGCGCTGAGGATAAGGTAATGGGTAACAAGGCAATAGAAGGAGCGATACCTCGATGGTGCGTTTTGGTCCCCAGTCTCCCACTCTAGGGTGACATGAAAGCTTAATGACAGCTTGACACTGATGGGAACATGCTCTGGAGATACCTCTTACAGACCAAACTTCACTGATGTTTTTCTATGCCCTAACCCCCCCCCATATGTTAGGCATGTGGGCCAGTATTAAAAACCTGCTGTCTGCAAAGCAGCAATCTATGGAGTAGCTGGGAGCCTGAGTTCATTTGCATTCAAGCAGGCATACCTGCATTTAAATACCTGTAGGCAAACGAGTCCACCCAGCTCCAGCTTTGCTCTTTCGTGTGTCCCCAGCGCTGCATTTGTGTGTGCTCAAGTGCAGTCTGTCTTCTTTTCCATTTACAGGGAATGGGAAGATGAGGTGGTGGCCTCGTCCGGATGGCATTGGTCCATCAGTGGAAGGTAAATGATTGTGACATTATCCCAATAGCGTTAATCCAATAGAAAGCTGTAAGTGAAGGTTGGTGACTTCTGTTACCTGGTTATCACAATCTCATTGGTGTTTCAGACCCGTGTCTGCTCCATCCCTGCCCATGGCAGCACCAGGACAGCTGGGATCAGGCTACCCCGGGGTGAAGGGAAAGGCTGCAGCTCCTTGGTCCCAAAGCGCGGTGAGATGGGGTCAGCCAAGAAACGGATGTGGAAGTGGCGACCAATGCAATGCACCAGGCTGCCCACCACGGCACACTGGAAGCAGGCTGGGTAGGCTTTGGCATGGGTGGCACATTCATACCACAACTTGGCCTTGGCTCTACAGCGATAGACGCCAATACCCATGTTGCAATTGAGGTCGAAGCGGTAGATAAAACCATTGACGCTCACCATCTCCACTGTCCTGTCCTTGCCGCCTCCAGCTGGGCTGACTGTCCAGATGTCCTCACGGGCTATGTAGCGCAGCAGCACATAGCGCAAGGTGCCCCCCGTCACATAGATCTCCCCATCACACACTGTGGCCATGTGGGCTACAGCAAAGGTGTCATGAGGCAGTGGAGCAACGAAGACCCAGCGGTCATACCGTGGGTCATACCGCTCCACTGTATAGAGGCACTCTCCACCGATGGCATAGAGGTAACCATCCAAGGCCACCAGTTTGCAGTGAGGACGTGCTTGGTTCAAGGGGCAGATCTCCCTCCAGATATCGGTCAGCGGGTTGTAGCAGAAGACACGGTTGGAAGGTGTGCGGCCCAAGCCTTCACAGCCTGCTACCACAAAGAGGTAGTTGAACATGCTGCACATGGCACACCCCTGGGAGACTACCTCTGGTGGCATGTGGCAAAGGTGATGCCAGCGGTCCCCTCTGTCATCATAGCAGCAGAGTCGGCTAGCATAGAGGCCCAGCTCATGCGTGCTGATGTCTGCCACAACAACACACATCTTCCCCTTCATTCTGCGCTGAAGGATGAGATCCCGCTCACTGGCGTTGAGGCAGCAGTAGATGGAGGGCGTCCTCAGCACCTGTAGGTAGTTGTCACTCATGACCTTGTAGGCAGCCTCCTGAAGAAAGCCTAGCTTCTCTGCCTTGGCCCTACAGAGGACCTCGTAGCAGTTCCCCAGGTCCAAACGGGTGTCTAGGGAGGAGGGTGATGTTTGGAAGAAGTTGGCTTTGCCCACCAGATCTGGCTGAGGGCTTGCTGGTGGCACGCTGGCTGGTGTGATGCAGAACCCATCCATAGGCAGCTGGAGGTGAGAGTTCTCTGCAATCTGGAGGATACTGTTCTTACGGCTGATGCTGCGAGTGGGAGCCGGGGGCTTGGGGTTCTTCTCTAAGCTCTCCGCATTTGATGGGACAACAAGAGAGGTGGTAGGGTCCTGCAATGCCACAGTTGTTTCTTGGGAGTGAGTCTCAGCGAGCGGAGTGGCAAAGCTCTGTAGCTTTTTGTTGACCCCCTCTGATCTCTGCAGCTCTTCGCTGAGCCACTCCAATCTTTGTTGTTCTGTGTTGACCCACTCCAAGCACTGCAACTCTTCCCTTACCTGCTCTGAGCTGCAGCGCAAGGCTGTCCCCATAGAGGCAGGTGGAAGAGACTTTTTTGTAGATACTGAATGGGAGATGGACTGGACATAGTAGTCATAGACTTTACCTTTAAGGCCAGGAGACAACCGCCTGTCTCCATCCTTTGTCTTCTTCTCAGCGATATAGCTCTCCTCCACCTCGATCTTTGCAATCGAGGAAAAAGAGTAGGAGGTATCTGCTTCCTTATAGCTTGCTGTTATCTTTACCCCCAGCTCCGAGGTGACATTAAGGGTCTGGATTGTGCCACTGCTCCCCTCCTGGCTGATGATTCCTCTGGCCAAATCCTGCTCGGTGCTTTGTGCGCCTCTATCCCCTGCCATCTGGTTAGGAAGCGCAATGTGTGGGACAAGCACACTGTGTCCATTTCCACCACCCTTGCTCCCATTCAGCATTTCATTCAGACCCCTTATGCCGTGAGATTTTGCCTCCCCTCCGTCTTCCTTCTCACTCGCTGGCAGAATTTTCTCTCTCTTTTGCCATGGATCTGGGACGCTCGCTTGGGCATCACCGCCACTCCGTGCCCCAAACACCCACCTGTGCCGCAGACCCTCCACATTCTGCCCATCCGGAGCTGCATTTTCCCTTCTCCCCTTCTCTCTGCAAGCATCGGATGTTGGGTTGTTGCCTCCAGGTGCTGAGCGGGACTTGTAAAATCTGTATGCCAAAGTCAGCAGGAGCAGAGAGGCGGCAGAAAGGATCAGCTTGCCAGTCAGCTGCATGTCGGACTGCCAGAGCACAGTTACCCACTGTCCCATTTTTCTGTGCCAAGCACTTGAGAATGTGAAGAATCCGATTAATGATTGCTGAGCCCCCAGCGGAACCTGCCAGGAGCTTGGGGCAAGGTGACTTTGAGCACACAGGAGGTTTGCATAGGAGCTCATCGTATTTGAGCAAGGTGGGACAGGGAGGGCTCAAGTGTCACTAGCAGGGAGCTGTGACACAGAGCTTGGCAAACAAAGAGACTCTGGGATAACATAAGGAAGCACAAACCTGATGGGATGGAATGTATGTCCTCCATGCATCCTGCCACTTCTGCTTCGCTCCATTGCTTTTTACTATTTAATAGTGCTGGAAGGGAAAAACAACTTCCTTGACCCAAGAAAGGTTTCATTTCCCTGTTTTGTCTCCCTGAGGGGTGAAGCCAGGTGAAAGCTGAGCACGGGGAAAGAAGGGAGGAGACAGCCCGCAGCTGGGCAGACCTTTGTTCCGACGCAGAGCAGCTGCTCTGCGCCACCAGATGAATAATTTGGCAGCACACTCACTAACAAAGGGTGACAGGAAGTATCCCAACAGCCACTGTGTAAACTCATTTGGTGGTGAGCCTGAAAGTGACAGATGGATTACGAGCCATGGGGAGAGGGGCTGGAGTCTTGGGGAGGGCAAACTACTGCAAATAGAGCTGGGGTGGAGGTGGAAAAGGAACTGCAGGCTGGAGTTATGGTGTGCGTAGCAGGAGGATGTGCTTCGGAAAGCAAAATCATTGGGCTGAGGGAAGAAAAATGGTATAGGGAGAAACTAGAGAGGTGTGAGCCATCATTTTGAAGGGGTGAGTGCTGCATCGAGGCTTATCAGGATGCATGCAAGGATGGGAGTTGCCAGAGGTGAAACCAAGGCACAGACATCATACATTTTTCCTACTTCTCGTGCAAAATGTCATGAGCGTGAGCAATTCCCATCTGAATTCTGAAAAATCTGGGGAATTGTGCATCCGCATGGGGAGGAAAGAAGGGCTATTGGGCCATCCTACGCATGGCATCCCCCACTAGCCTCTGCTGAGTGGGCTGAATTCAAAGGGAAACCATGAACTTCCTTTTCCCCCAGGGGCACTTCTCTGCACTGAGAGATGCAAAGGAGCGAGGTCCTGCACGAGCTGAGGAGGTAAAGAACAGCACGAACTCTTTCAAATGGAGGAAAAAAAAAAAAGCACAACCAAACCAGCTAAAATGTGGGTGTTGTGCAAACTCAGTCCTGATGCTGTAAGGATTTGCTGGGAAAATGACAACTTGTGATACTAAAAACTGTGATGGGTGTGTGGGAGACAATCAGTGCTAGTTTCTTACCTGAGAGATGGGGAAACTGAGGCACCACTGCAGTCTCGTGGAACCAGGTTTCATCAATCATGAGCTCAAGGCTGCAGTACCACTCTGCTTTGTGCAGTACTCTGTTTTTCAAGACTGTTCTGTATTTGTGTGTGCATTGAGGCCAGGGTGCATTTTGGGGCTTGGCTAATTGGCTGTATGTGTCATTCAGAGTCCATCCACCTGTATACAGATGTGACCCTGGGGTTTCTCATCTCTTGCTGCTGTGACTGTTAATCAGCACTAAGATCTGCCTAGAGGGCTCCTTATGCAGGGAACATGAATTACATGTGCCTTTGTAAGCAGCCCTGTGAACTCAGCCAAGTAGCTGTGTCCAGTAACGATAGAACAGAGGCAGGAGGGCACTGAAGAGGCTGTTGCTTGCACATGACACATCCCTGCCTTTGTGTCCGCATCCCGTATCCCCCAAACCTGGGGGCTTCCCAGTGTTGGACGTGCTGCATCCTTGACACATAGGCTACCAAAGCCCCACCCTGGGGCATACTGCAGCGTGTGGTTTCTCTCATCATTTGCTTTTGTAGGGCTTAGAAGGACTAAGAACCTTGCAGGAATTGTGCTGGAGCAGGGAACATAGCCATTGCAAGCTGAGGTGATGTCCTGGCTCTTGTCACCCTAATTGAATGTAATTGCTGCCTCCAAATTTTGCTAAAACCGTTTCAAAGTCCACTGAAATTAGGGAACATGGATAATGCCAGTCCTTGGGGTTTTCAGCTTGCATCATCCCTAAGAAGTGTGATTAATTTTTCACAAGCTAATCGTATCTCTTAGGCAGATTGTCAGTGGAAGATCTGTCAGCTCTCATCAATAATGAACCAAGCAGAGCAGCTCTGTAACCTCGCGCTCTCCTGCATTATTCACTGTCAGATCCTCAACAACAGGAGTCTGGTGGGGAGAGAGACGGGATTTAATCGATGCCCTTCATAATTCCATGTAGAATTGCAGCAGGTGAAGGATAAGGGTGCAGGAGGCGATGGCCGGGCCCAGGTTATATGTGGAGCATTTGGTGAGGCGATACCATTCTGTGTCACCCTCTAACACATTGATGTTTGGACTTGATGATCATAGTGATCTTTCCCATCCTTAATGATACTATGATTCCATCACGACTGCTCATATGGCAGATGAAGTGATACAGCTGCTTTAACACTCGGTGAGACAAAATCAAATCAGCCATTTCTGCCCAAAGTGAGAGTTTTATGTGTTCCTTTGGTCATCATTTAGGCTGTACTAGTAATAACGTGGTCTCAATCTTCATTCTCTCTGCACATTGACAGATACTGCCATAATGGGTGGGTTGCGGGTTGATGATTGGAATAGATGATCTACAGTTGGAACTGATGATCTTAGAAGTCCTTTCCAATCTTAACAATTCTATGATTCTATAATCATAATCAACAAGGAAAGAGCCAAGTGTCCCATATGGATATCAGATTTGGGATGCTGAGCCCATCAGCTCATCGATCCTCTTCCAGTGGTGGTACTTCTCTGAAGCTGGTGCAGTGAAGTGGGTGACGGCTTCGTTATGCCTGTTTCCATGGTTACAGGTGATAACGCTGCATTTAAACAGAGATCTGGGGGTCTGCAAATCCCCATTTTCACAGTGAGCAGGCATAATGGTTGTTTAATTTCATTTGGGTGAGAGCCCCGGATTGCAACTGGAGTTGCTGCATTTCTGACCTAGCAAGCAATATCTGTGCCATCAGGAATCGTGCTGCATGGTCTATAGCAGGCGGGTAACCCAAATAGCATGGGTTTCCCTGAAAAGAAAGGTTCTCATCTTAAACAGATACAGAAAGTGTCTGTAACCTACTTTGGAGCAGAGGGCAGCTGGTTTGTAGAGCCGAGGATTCAGCAGCTGGCATCTTTTCTTCCTGGCAGGGATTCGGATGCTTGGTTCTTTTTGCTTCAGGATGAAAGCAGAGCTGCTAATCCTCCTAATTCCCATCCATCCAGGGCCTCTGGAGCAAACTCATCCCTGCATAGCTTCCAGCCGAAACTATGGTGCTGAATGGTTTTGTACATCAGTAGCGACTCCTGAGCCACTGTGTGTTTATTCAGTTCCTTTGAGGTCTGGAAATTGCTGGCAATGGTGAGTGGTAGGAAGTGAATCTGCTTAATAATAATTAATCATAATAGTAATAATAGTAATAATACTTAGCACTAGTATGGGGCTTTGGGAAGCTGAAGTGCTGCACGGCTGCTGGCTAATCCTTCAGAATTAAGCTCCTGGAGGAAAAGGTAGGGGAGTGAATGCCTGCATAGGGCTGGCTTAGCACCAGAAGAGTGGTGTGGGGCACAGTTATTTTAGGGTCTACATCCCCAGTGGCACTCATGCTGGTCACGCGCACAGCTTGTGCCATGGAGCTGAGTCCTGGTGCAGTAGTGCAGTGGGCTCAGGATCATCCCTTCTACCAGCCTGAGCGTGCACTAGAGTTGGTATAAATGGAGGGACATGGTCCCTACTGCTTCCTTTCCAATAGACTTTGGGCCCTGGCATCATAGCATAACTGTGTTCCTCTCCCAGACCTTGGAAAGCCACTGGGTTCCCCATGGCAGTCTTGGGTACCCCAAGGTGGTCTTAGGTACTCCAGGCCAGTCCTCAGATGTTCCTTCAGTTCCCAATCCAAGCTCTCTACACACAGGAGGACAAAACATTCAGTGCAGCCTTCTACAGAGGGAGGTTTTTTTTTTTTTCTTTTAATTAAATTGTCCAAGGAAGCCAAGACACAAACAGAAAGAGACTGAGACTGTAAATAGCATAGAAAAAAAAAGAAAAAAAGAGAACCAATTGGCAGAGGTGTAAACGACAGGTGGAACTGTACAGAGGAACAGGCAAGTGAAGCTTCACGTTAGCTCCAGGATCACTGTTAGGGTGAGTGCCAAAACTAGTCTGAAGCTGCGGTGGCTGGTAATTGAACCTAGGCAGGAGGAGAAAAGGGATGGAGAATTCAGGGATTCCCATCTTGATCACAGAATCATACTATCAGTTGAGTTGGGAGAGACACTTTAAGGCTGTCTTGTCCAACTCTCCTGCAATTAACAGAGCCACCTACAGCTCGATCAGGTGCTCAGAGCCCCTTCCAGCCTGACCTCATGGGGCCACCACCTCTTAGACTCACCTCACCTCCAGCCACCACTTACCATTCGAGTCCTCTGTTCCTCGGGGAATATTTGGATTTTCTAAGGAAAAGAACCAGCAGAGAAATGGGTTAAGAGGGAGGAAAGAGGAAAGGGGACATGTGGGGGAGGGGCAATGCCGTACCGAAGACAATGAGGCGGGTGTGGGTGTCAGTGGAACCCAGTGGGTTCTGTGCAGTGCAGCGGTACATGGAGCCATTGAGCTCAGCCGGCACTCGCTCCAGCACCAGCTCCTTCCCGGCGTGCTCGGCACTGCCATCCAGGAGCCGGCTTCCCACACGGGTCCATGTGAAGAGGGGCTCAGGGAAGACTTCGTTCTGCATGGAGAGGACAGCAGGGTGGGTTTTGTGACCCTCAAGCCTGGCCTCCACTGTCCCAGCTTTATGGCCACATGGCAAACTTGAAGTGCTGGAATGGATGCAGGGACAGCATCACCCCATGGCAACATGGACAACACCACATGGGGACACTGACCTGAAAGCCCTGCACCAAGATCCGAACAGTGTCTCCAACCCGTGCTCTCACGGGGGTCATGATGATTTTAGGGCCCTTGGGAGCAACTGCAACAAAAAGGGATGGGGAGAAAAGGGTCATCAGCCCTTGATTGGGGTGAACGACGATTTGATGTGGTGCTGGTCAGCTGGGGAGGCAGACTGTTGGGTAATTGATGAACAGATGATAGACGGCCAAATGGACAGGTAGGCAAGTACCCTGTTGGCTGATGAGATTGATAGACAGCTGCTAGAGGATGCCTTCATAACTGAAGTCATTTCCTAGCCAAAATGAATTTCACCCCACTCTGTTTCCTCTATGGCACATACCAAAATGTCTCTGCAGCTGACAGACTTCCCCCCCCCCCCCCCCCCCCCCCAAAAAAAAAAAACAAACAAAAAACAGCAGTCCTTCCCTTAAGGTGCCTCTGTTTCTAGGGAGCCCTGGTATCACCTCCTCATATCACCATGCAGCTCTATACATCACGCTGTTTTGATTCTTGGGTGTATGAAGTGGGGGGGGGGGGGGGGGGGGGGGGG